TTCTGTCTTCTCACAGGTGGCAGCTGCCAACAAGAAGCATTAGAACAAAGGATGCTGGGTTAATAAATTGCCTCATTCATAATCCTGGTCTGGGTCTGCTTTTGATTTCTTGGTTCTGTTTTTTAATACAGGGCTTCCCTGGGAATCCCAAGACACCAGTAGAGCTGTGATGTCAGCTGATAGTAGGGCTGGGCTGCAGGTGTGTTCCCAAGAAGAGAAAGTTTTGGATTATGAGAAGGCAGCATAGTCACCTTCCCTTCCCTTAGCTGTCCTGCCATCCTCCACTAAGGATGAAAGGTGGATGCTGCAATCCCTGCCTGATGTCATGGTGCCTGTAAGGAGTGTAAGGAATATGCTGGGCCTGAGCTCTCCAGAAGGCCAGCCTAGCCCCAGTCATCCTGGCAGCTTCCCGGGTCAATCAGCCCTATCTCAAGGGAGGCTCTGGATTTTCTGCGGCTCACCTTCCTCCTCCCCAATCTGTAACGATCCGCAACACGCCAGGTTGAACTGGCTCCCTGCAGAGGGGACTCTTTCAAGCCACATGAGAACCGCCCCTCCCGGGTTGAAACATTGGGACAGGCAGTTTTCTGTGTCCAGCAAGCTTCTTGGGATGGATATCCTACAGCATTTGAAGGGACAAACCCTGGGTAACTGGAGGCTGTGAGGATGTGGCCTGTGTCAGCCCATGCAGTCCACCTTAAGCCTGAGCTCAGGCATGTCCCTTTCTGTGGTCAAGTGAAGAGGAATGTTTTGGCCCCACTGATCACATGTGTTAGGAAGTTGCTTCGCTGCAGCCACTAGGGGGCAGCCACTACCGAGAAAGTTGAGTTCTGGCTCGTCTGAGGTTCCCCGAGTAGCAGCTTGGAACTGGAGACCAGCTGTCCTGCCCTCAAGGCAGGCACCTCGCAATGTGGGCGGGAGGTGGCAGGTTGTGAAGAGAAAGGGAAGTAAGCTTCAGGGACTACTGAGTGCTCTCTCGGTGATACCACCAAGCTCATAAAAGGGGGGGTCATTACAGTCCCTGGCAATGGGCAAAGAGACACCTTGGTGGTGGTGTTGTCTTATATCAGCCAGGGACAGAGCAGATGGAGTCCTTTGTTCATCCTAGCTTGATGCCTATCTTCGTGGCCAAAGCTGTTTCATGCCTAGGGCACATAAGTAAAAAAAGGGGGGGGGGAGGGTCATTCCTACCAAACAGGAGAAAAGGACTCTTACTATAAATCAGTTGACCTTGTTCTTGGAGCCCAAATAGTCTTTTAGCACAATGACCTGGAGCTCCTGGCCCCCTGCTGTGTCCACCTTCAGAGTGCTGGGACTACCATCCTGCACCACTCCTTTGGGCCACTTGGCCTATTTTTAAGTTATGAAGTATTTCAGGCATGTAAAGCAGTATTCAAAGCAGCCTTGCAAAGCTCCCCACCCATGGCTTTGAGGGTGGCTTCCGAGTTGAGGACACTTGCTACTCTGAAGAGACCTCAGTTCAGTTCCTAGCATCCATATCAGAAGGCCCACTACTGTAACTTCAGCTCTAGGGGATCCAATACCTGTGGCCTCAGGGACACCTACACCCATGTGCATACCCAAGAGCAAGACACACCTGCACAGATTGCCAGCCAGGCAGTGGTGGCAAGTAGGTCTAGGGAGTTCAAAGCCAGACTGGTCTGCAAACCAAAGTTCCAGGGCTACACAGAGAAAGGCCATCTTTGTCTCTACCCCACCCCCAAGTGGGGCTGTAGAGAACTCAGCAGTTAGGAGCAAGAGCATTGGCTGCTCTTAGAGGCTTATGGCAACTCACAATTGTCTGGGATCTGACTCTGACAGATACATATGCAAGCAAAGCATTTTTTTTTAAACAAGGTTTCTCTAGCTTTGGAGCCAGTCATGGAACTAGCTCTGTAGACCAGGCTGGCCTCACACAGAGATCCACCTGCCTCTGCCTCCCAAGTGCTGGGATTAAAGGCGTGCGGCAAACAAAGCATCTAAAATAGCTTAAAAAAATAATAGGAAAAAAATATTATGCAAGAGAAATCAATTGTAACTCAGTAGCAAAAACTTTGCCTGGCGCAGGAGAGGCCCAGAGTTCCATCCCAAACAGAACCAAACGTAGTAGGAAATAAAGACACTAAATACTACAGAGCTAGGCGTGGTGGCGCACACCTTTAATCCCAGCACTCGGGAGGCAGAGACAGATTGATCTCTGTAAATTCAAGACCAGCCTGATCTACAAAGTGAGTTTCAGGATGGGGAACTCCAAAGCTACAGAGAAAAACCCATATGGGGGGGAGGGGTAAGAAAAAAAAAGTTGTGTAAAACTTTGAGTCCTTCCCCAACCCCAGTCCTCCTTTTCCCCCCAGAGGTGAAAGTCAAGGGTGTACACGTCTGTCTGTATCACAGACCATTGTCCCCAAACAGCCGGTAGTGTCAACCCCATTTCCTACACCCGGGTTTTTCTCCTCCCCATTTCTGACACTGACTTGACCGCTGCTCTGCGGCTTTCAGCTGCCCTATTGAACGTACTACAGCATGTCCTTTCTCCTGCAAATGTACCTTGGGATTGTTTCACGAAAAAAAAAACATCCTGCGGGGCTGGAGAGATGGCTCAGTGGTTAAGAGCATTGCCTGCTCTTCCAAAGGTCCTGAGTTCAATTCCCAGCAACCACATGGTGGCTCACAACCACCTGTAAAGAGGTCTGGCGCCCTCTTCTGGCCTTCAGGCATACAGACAGAATATTGTATACATAATAAATAAATATTAAAAAAAAAAGTACTCGGAACTGCTCCACCATTTAAAAAAAAAAAAAAACATCCTGCGATGAATGTGGTTTTTGTTTTGTTGATGTTCTAAGAATTGAACCTGGGACCGGACAAAAGGTGGCAAGTAAGGGCTATACTGCTCGGCTTCCCCAAGTCGCATTCAAATTAGTTCTCTCTCTCTCTCTCTCTCTCTCTCTCTCTCTCTCTCTCTCTCTCTCTCTCTCTCTCTCTCCTTTTTCTCTTTTTGTTTTTGTTTGGTTCTTTGGTTTTGAAAGACAGGGTTTCTTTTTAGACAAAGCTGACCTCAAACTCAGAGATTCACCTGCCTCTGCCTCCCAAATGCTAGGATTAAAGGTGTAGGACCCAACCACCGCAAGCTCACTAGAGGCCTGAGTCTCAGTAGTTTGTTTACCCTGAGGGCAATACTTGGTTCTGATTAAGACCACAAACTGAGACTACCCAGACACCACCCAGGAACAGACCATCCAAAAGAAATTCCTAACGTTCCAATCATTGTAGACAGGATCATACCTGCCTGCACACACCCATTGTTTTCACCAGGACACCCCTAGACAAATGTCAGCCAATCAGGGGTCCTAAACCTTAGAAATCCCTCAACCACCCCCACCTTTGCTACTATAAAAACCCAACTCTACCTGAGCTCGGGGCTCTCCAGTCACTACAATACACTGGACATATGGACAAGTTTGCAGACTTGTGTAAGAATAAAGGTTCCTTGCCTTTACATACAGGACTTGGTCTCCTGGTTGGTTTGTGGGGACTCCTGATCTGGGCATAACAAAAGGCATGTGCCACCACCACCCAGCTCGGATTATTTTTCATTTTTTTTCTACTTTGGGAGGTTTTGTGTGTGTGTGTGTACTACATGTGTGCATGAGCCAACATATTCTTCAGAAGAGGCTGGGCCCTCTAAAACTGGACTTAACAATCGTAATCCACCACGTGGAGTGTGGGGCGTGGAACTCAGGTTCTCAGCAGGAACTCTGTGCTCTAACACAGCTGAGCCATCTTGTCTCTCCAGCCCGGTTTGGGGTGTGTTTGTTGAGGCCAGAGCTCAGCTGGCCTGGCAATCTTAACGAACCTCACGCCTCTGATCCCTTTTGTTATTTTAATTTGTTTTGTCTGAAGAGAGTCTGCAAGTCTGCAGCTTCGGTTGACCTGAAATTCACTCTGTAAACCAGGCTAGCCTTGAACTCACAGAGACCCGCCTGCCTCTGCCTCCCAAGTATTGGGATTAAAGGTGTGGGCTACGACTGCCTAGCTTGTTTTGATTTGGTTTGTCTGAGATAGAGTCTGAGTCACTGGGTGACCTGGAACTTGCCTTTATCCGTCTCAGCCTCCCAAATTCTGGGATTATAGGCATATGCCAATACAGCTATTTTAATGATTTCTCTTGCCATGTCTTCACATAAGTGAAAACTGCCTAACTACTTAATTAGTATCTCAATCGCTCCATTTCCCTGGGTATAAAACAGATTTTTTTTTTTTTGTGGGCCATGACTGCCTAGCTTTAAAAAATTTTTAAAAGGATCTCCGAGTTTATGGCCAGCCTTGTCTACATAGTGAGTTCCAGAACAGCCAAGGCTACAGAAAAAAAAAAAAAAACTGGTCTCAAAAAAAGAAAGAAAGAAAGAAAGAGAAAGAAAGATTTTCAGGTTTTTTTTTTTTGTGGTCCATGACTGCCTAGCTTTAAAAAATTTTTAAAAGGATCTCCGAGTTTATGGCCAGCCTTGTCTACATAGTGAGTTCCAGAACAGCCAAGGCTAAAAAAAAAAAAAAAAAAACTGGTCTCAAAAAAAGAAAGAAAGAAAGAAAGAGAAAGAAAGATTTTTAGGTTTTTTTTTATTTACTTAGTATTTATATGTATGATTATGAACCACCATGTGAATGCTAGGAATTGAGTCTAGTTCATCAACAAGAGAAATGAGTACCCTTAATCACTGAGCTAACCAGTCCCTCACCTTTAAAACAAAACGAAAATAGGCTCACCTGGAGCTCAATATACTGGCTAACCTGGCTGACCAGTGAACTCTGTCACCCGCCACCCGCCCCCATCTGCCTGTTTCTTATGTAGCCCAGGCAAGCCTCTCAGTTACACATACCACAGCCTCCCAAAGGCTGGGATTGCGGGCTCAGCGGGTCCATTCCACCACAGACTGGACAGCACCGGGCAAGTGGTTGCTTCCCCTCACTGAGCCTCGGTTTCCTCCTCTGTAATCGCCCTCCACGGCTGGGGTATAGTTCAGTGGCGGAGCAGTCACCTGGCAGGCAAGAGATCCCAGTTTTATCCCCAACGTCATGAAAGGAAAACCTGGCGTGGTGGATCACATCTGTAATAGCAATAGTGAGGAAAAGGCAGAGGATCGCGATCTCAGGGGCACCTTCAGTAGCTGGCTCAATTTCCAGCACCCAGACAGCGGCGGTAGTTCCATCTCCAGGGGATCTGTAGCCCTCTTCTGGTCTCCACGGGCACCAGGCACACACATGGCACACATGCATACATACATGAAAGCAAACACATACATTAAATAAATAAAGCTTCACTGATTAAAAAAATAAAAGGTGACTATAAATAAACAACGACAAAAAGATTTTCACTGGTGAATCCAAGGCCAGCCTCTCTTGAAAAAGAGAAAAGGTAGGTTTGGAAAGAAAAGGGTGGGGGGAGCAGACAGGTTTGCCCCAGTGTTAATGAGATCGGAAGCCAAAGCTGAGCGTAGTAACAGGTGGACCTGCCTGCCTCGCCCAAGCTCCCGGGATCCTTCTGCAGGTTCAGCGGCCTGAACCAGCCTCTGCCCCACCCCAGCACTAGAGACTCAAGGGAATTGTGGCCAGCCCAGGTGCAGCACTGTTCCTCAGCACTCAGGGACTGAAACACATGGCAAATAAGGGCCACTGGAGCCCATCTCCGTCCGGGGCCAAACAGGAAGTGAGGCGGAGTTTGGGGTGGAATCTGGTACCCGAGGGCTACTGCAACCCAGACTAATCAACCCACTGGTAGAAAATGTCAGAGGGTCTCGGAGTCCTGCCTCTTCTTCTCTTCCTGGCGGAAGCCTGCCTAGGTAATGTGGCCAAAGGGAAGGTACTGGCGTTGGGGGGCAGGGGGTTTGAGGGTACCACTGACGGGAGGGGTGGATAGTGAAGCCAGAAGCTGAGGGAAGCCAGACAGGTTGATGCATAGCGCACACCCTTTAAAGTAATACCAGAGCTCAGGAGATTGAAGCAGGAGGGAAGAATATTGCATTTGAGGCCAGCCTGGGCTACATAATGAGTGCTAACCTATCATGGCTAGCCTGGGCAACTTACTGAGACCTATTCCGAAATAAAAGGAGCAACAACAGGGAACGGGGGGGGGGGGGGGGGGCTTTCTTTCTGTCTCAGATGGTTTGGAGGAGGCTCAGGAAAGTCCACTGTTAGGCCCAAGCCCACCATGCCCCACAACACAAAATCATATCTTCATAAGTCAGAATGAGGAACTGAAGTAAGTGTGGACTCAGGGAGGTGTCCCCGAGGGAAAGGGAGGGCGTGCCTCATCAGACTCCATTCCCCTCCCTCACCAAGTGTGACCACACTGACCAGGCTTTAAGAGGGGAAGGTCATCCACTCAAGTGACTGATGCTGGAAACCAGCCGAGAGTGGAGCGCTGCTGTCTGAGCCCATTACCATGAAGTTGCCCAGCTTCTTCCTCCAGCTTTTCTTCCTCACTTCTGGCCTTCCTCTTTCCTGCTATGTTCAGGAAGGTGGCCACAAGCCAATGTGGTCCTGGGGAGGCTGATAACGGGGCTTTCAAGATAAACACAGAGTGGACACCTTGGCCACCAGTCCACCCTTGTCTCTCTGAGCTCCCTCCACCCAGACAGAGTTCAGTCCCTGATCCCTAAGTTGACATTTAAATTGCGGAGGCAGAAACAGCCTAGGCACAGAAGGACAGATTCAGGGTGGCTGCAGGAGGGGAGTACCACCTCTTCCAATAGAGGGGGTGATGCTGGGCCCTCACCCCAGGGCCGGAGGAGGTTCCTAAGGGCTGGGAATAATGGCTCCCATTCCTTCCCAATGAAGGGGAAGTCTCTGAGAGGGTTCGGGGAGTTCTCTGCAGCGGGACCCTGCTGGTGTTAGGAAAGTAAAATGCAATGGAGCAATGGTGGCAAGAAGCCACAAGGCAGCTCTCCCAGCATCTACTCTCTCTCTAGAGGTGTCATCACCATCAGGACCACTCCACTCCCAAGAGCACTGGTGTGAAGGGCTCTGGATCGCGGCAATCAGGGCCACCTCCAGTCTCTGTTCTCATCTCTCCACAGGCCCCGGATGCCAGGCCCTGAAGATAGACATTCCACCATCGGTGACAGTGAACGTGGGGGATGAGGCCCGCCTCGTCTGCAAGCACGATGGCAACAGACCTAATATCACGTGGTGGTACGGTTTTGTGTACAACTCCAACATCTCCATCCCCTCAGTGTTTATGGGTTCTGGTCAGGGGCTCAAAGGTGATGAGCTGGTCATCCCCAATGTAAACAAGAGCCACGGGGGCCTCTACAAATGCCACGCGGAAGAAAACGGCAAGAGAAAATTCTCCTGCGGCACCTACCTCCGAGTGCGTAGTGAGTAGCAAGGGACGCTGCCCCTCGGGTTCCCTGCTCCATCCAGAACGCTGCTTGCGTGCGTGCGTGCGTGCGTGCGAGCAGAACCAGTTCCTTCCTCCTGGACCTGAACTAGCAGCACATAGGTTCTCGCCGGGCAGGATGGTGGCTTCAGGGCTCCCTGACCTCACAAGGGGCAGGGCTGGGAGAGGAGGGGACACTGAGACTCCCTGTCTTCACAGAGCCAGTCCCTAGACCCTTCCTGGACATGGGAGAAGGCACCAAGAACCGTATCATCACAGCCGAGGGCATCATCCTGCTGTTCTGTGCAGTAGTGCCAGGGACATTGCTACTATTCAGGGTGAGTCCCCCAAGTAACACCCCACAAGTCACCTGGGCTTGCCGGGCCTGGACTATGACTCCCAGTGTCTAGCTGGTCCTCTAGATTCTGAGGTTCCTACTCCAAAGTTTGGAAGACTGAGAGTACCAAGAAAATTGTGAGTGGTCCTGAGCTCCAGGGTGTCACTGTGTCCCCACTGGCCCTCTCTAGATACCTTCTGCCTCTCCTCCTGCCCCACCTGAAGAGCAATCCCCTGCAAATGCAGCCAAGACCAGGGACAAAGGGGACCAGTGCCCCTCCAGAGCCTCTACTTCTCCCTAGGCCACAAGGCAACTTTATTTTTTTTTTTTTAATGTTTTTAGATGAGGTTTCACTGTGTAGCCCTGACTGGCCTTGAGCTCACAGAAATCTGTCTAGGCCTCTCAATTTCTGCTGCTGGCATTAAAGGTGTGTGCCACCATGCCTGCCCTTCTTTATTTCTCATCGGTTTGTGTACATGGATAGTGGGTAGGAGAGTCTGGGCATGTGAGTGTGGGGGCACAAAGCAACTTTCTGGAGTCCCTTCATTCCTTCCACTTAGGATGCCCAGACCAAATTCATGTCCCTGGGTTTGCATGGCAACAGATTTACCAGCTGTGCATCTCCCAGACTTGTTTTTGCTTTCCTTTCCTTTGTTCTGTTTTCAAGGAAGGGTTTTTCTGTGTAACAGCTCTGGCTGTCCTGGAACTCACAAAGATCCACCTGCCTCTGCCTCCCAAATGCTGTTTGTCTCTGTCTCTCTTTCTCGACAGATCTTGGTCCAGGCTAGCCTCAGACTTGTTCTCTCCATGGCTGGCCTGATTCTTCTCCCCACCTTCCAAGTACTGCCATCACAGGCATAGCTGCCACCACTAGTTTTCTTTCCTTTTCAGTGGGGAGGTAAAGAAGATGGGATCTTGCTAAGTAGTTCAGGCTGGGTCCGAACTCATTCTATAGATCATATTGGTCTGGAATTCATAATCCTCCTGCCTCAGCTTGCCAAGGACTGGGATTACAGATATTCACTGCCAGTTGCTGTTATACTGTCTTACTATTATACTCCTCAGCACTGGAGAACAGTAGCAGGCCAGCATGGTAGCATTAGACCTTTGATCTCAGCAGCACTCAGAAGGCAGAGGCAGGCAGAGCTCTGGGAGTTCAAGGCCAGCCTGGTCCACCTAGTGAGTTCCCAGCAGCTCGTGCTAGATAGAAAGCCTGAGGAAGTTAGTGGAATGTAGTGGCAAACACATCCAGCACTCCTTGGAAGGTGATGCAGGAGAACCCATAAGGAGAAAGAGAGGAGAGGATCAGAGAACAGTATCTGCCAAGATCCCAATATGTGGGCTTAGGCATGATTTATTTATTTATTATGTATACAATAGTCTGCCTGCATGTATGCCTGCAGGCCAGGAGAGGGCACCAGATCTCATTACAGATGGTTGTGAGCCACCATGTGGTTGCTGGGAGTTGAACTGAGGACCTCTGGAAGAGCAGCCAGTGCTCTTAACCTCTGAGCCATCTCGCCATCCCCCTGTCCATTCATCTTTCTGATAAAGCACCTGCTGGTATGTGAGGGTCTGAAAAACCCTTCACCTCCCCCTTGCTCACTGAGGCTAATCCTCACCTACAGAAACGGTGGCAGAACGAGAAGTTTGGTGTGGACATGCCAGATGACTATGAAGATGAAAATCTTTATGAGGTGGGCACTGGATGGGGTGGTGCTGAAGAGCGGGCCGGTGTACAGGGAGGGGGGGTCTGCAGTGGGAACTCTGGGGTTGACTGGGAACAGGGACCGCAGCTGCCAGGGGACTGATAGCTACCCTATCCCTTGCAGGGCCTGAATCTTGATGACTGCTCTATGTATGAGGACATCTCCAGGGGACTCCAGGGCACCTACCAGGATGTGGGCAGTCTCCACATTGGAGATGTCCAGCTGGAAAAGCCGTGACTGACATCCCCCATCCTGCTGTGCTGTCTGTCCCCACCTGCCATAGCCCTGCCTCACTTCTCTTCCCCTGCAGTCTCCCCTTCCCAGTCTTTGTCCCTCCAGACTACCCCACCCTACTCTCCCACCTGATCTTGTCCTTCCCCAAGTCTGTCCTGGGTTCCCTCTCCAGTGGGTAATGAGCCCTTAATCGCCGCCTCTAGGGGAGCTGATTACAGCAGCCTCGTTAGTGTCACCCCCTCCTCCCAGATCTGTCATGGCCACTTAAGTGCTAATAAATCCTTCCTAAAGCAGCCCTTGGCAGGAGTCGTGGATCTCATGAGGACTGTTCCTCCACAGTGCCAGGCGACCGGGAGCAGGAAGCCCAAGTTCCCTTCCTCCCTCAGACCTAAGTTCTCACCTGCCCACTTCTGACATCTAGGACTAGACAGTCAGTCTTGCCCCCCAACCCCCATCCCTCCAAGAAACAGGAAGTCTCTTGGGGAAGTCCCCACCCCAAATGAAGGGCTGGTTTATCTTTTTTTATAGGGCCTCACCCTCCCTATGTCCCTAAGAAAAGGGGAGCCAGGGGGGATGTTACCAAATTATTATGCATATTTAAGCTCTGAAAACACGCGGTATTATTTCCTGGGGGTCGGACCTAATTCCCTCGTGGGTGCATTTGTCTAGGCAGATCTGGAGTGTTTCTGTCAAGATCCTGGAGATGGTGGAGAGTGCACAGCGCTGTGACCCAGTAGCACTAACGTGGGAAGAGCAGATGCAGAAAGGCAGTGAAGGGCAGGAGTGAAGCAAAGAGGAAACACGGGAATCCCCAGAGTCAGGGACACGAGTTAGAAGGCAAGGCGAGAAGCAGACTCGAGCTGGCTGTCCAGTGAGCACAGCCTAAGGGATAACAACAGTTGGGGAAAGGACAGAGCCTATGGTCTGGGAGGATGAAAGAGACCCAGCGGCAAGAAAAGGACGCACAGTGATAAAAAGGAGCAGAAAGGCTGTAGCGGGGTGAAGAAGCAGAGGCCGGGGAGGAAGATAGCTTCCGGGGAAAGTGCTGGGTCGAGAGTGTGGGGCTCAAAGAGAGTGGAGCTTTGACATGGTGGCGCATGCCTTTAACTTTAACCTCTACGATCCGGAGGCAGAGACAAGAGGAACTCTGTGAGTTCGAGGCTACCCTGGTTTACAGAGCGAGTTCAAGGCCAGCCAGGGCTACCCAGTGAGTTCTTGTCACAAACTAAGAAGAGAATGAAAAGAGGAAGGGCCAGAGCAGGAGCTGGGCAGCAGCATGGCAGAAGATAGCAAAGGAGGACAAAGGCGAAGAAGGGGAGCCGGGCGGGGCCGGGTGGGGCCGCACCCGCGGGGAAAGGAGGAGCCGGGCGAGCGAGTGAGAAGGGGAAGGAAGCCGAGGTGCCGGGCGGGCACGGGGCGCCGGCAGGAAGCGGGGAGGGGCGGCGGGCGGGGGCTCCGGAAAAACGCCCCGACTTCCTGCCCGCTGGAGCCTGGAAGCCGGAGCCGGGACGCCGGGCCCGGGATCGCCGAGCCCGACCTCGGGCGCCCCGCTGGTCACCTCCCCGCGCGGACACCAGGTACATCGTCCCTGGCCCCGCCCGGCCTCCTCCCCCTCGGCAGCCGGGGGAGAAATGGGGAGGAGCAGGGAGGGGACCCGGCGCCTAGGGCCTCGGAGGTGGGGGGCAGTGAGCCTGCAAGCCTCCCTTCCTCGGGCCTATTTTCTCATCTGTCAAAGAGAGCAAAGAGAAAACTCGGCGTGGTGGCGCTCGCCTGTCATCCCAGAACTTGGGAAGCAGAGGCAGGAAGATTGCCCTGAGTTCGAGGCCAGCCTGGGCAACCTAACGTGACCCTGCCTCGGAAAGAAAAACAATACCAAAAAGAGGGGGGGGGGCATTTGTCGAGTGCACAGCAGATAGAGATGAAATAGTTTGGGACCCAGACTACCCACTGTTAGCGCAGCTCAGAACGATAACACCCATTACCAGTTGGGAATCTGAGGTCCGAGGAGTCGGACCTCCTCGTCGTAGAGATCATGGATGCTTAATTAGAGGTACCTAAAATAAACAGTGTCTCTGCGGGCCATTATGAAGCTGAGAGTTACGGATCGTTGAAAACGTCTCAGAAAGCTTTTCCCCCCCTCTGGGTTATTAATTATATACTCTGGGAGATGGTTGTAGGGGAGAGAGCCGGAAACATCCGCACTGAACAGATGGGAAGACTGAGTCCTAAAGGGAAGCCATTGCTTTTTGCAGGTTAATCCGTCGGGAGGGAGGAAAGATATACTCAAGCGCATGGGTGTTTTTGTTTTGTTTTGCTTTGCTTCCCAAGTACAGCGGGAGGATTTGCCAGGGGTGACAGAGGGAGCGGGTATACAGAGTTGGGAATTTAACAGGTCCGAGATGGGGAGGTAGACAAGGTGGGAAGACCTCACACCTGAGCAACTTGGAGATCCGAGATTGAGCGCTAACCAGGCGCTGGAATCATCCACCACTCCCGCAAAGGGGGTGGGGCCCGGGAGAGTGACAGGGGCAGTCGAGATACGGAAACGCGGGCCCTCCAAGATGGGCCAGAGTGGCTCTATCGGGCCAGCGTGGCGCCGTGGAGAGATAGAGCGGCCGGCAGGAGGAGTAGAGTTACAGAGGCCGGAGAGTGGCAGGAGGCAGGCTAGAGCGGCCAGAGGGAGGAGTGGAGCTGGACTCAAAGCTGGCCTCTGGCTCGGCTAGAGCGACTCTGCGGCGCGGGTGGGGGAACCTTGAGCTCAGGCGCGGAGGCTTCGGTTCCGGAGGCTGCAGTGGCTTCTCATCCCATCCGACAGGTGAGATCCGCAGCCTTGGCTGCCATCAAACCTGACCCTGCACGTCTTCCCTGCCGTCCATACTGTCACAATCGCTGTAGTACTGAGCGCCCGTGTAAATTAGCCACGTCCGGTGTAAGATTTAGGGCTCGTGAAGACCGCCACGTTACATAGGTTATAAGATCTTACATACCTTCCAGGTTTCAGGAAGCCTTTCACGGAAACCCGACTTTTAATAAACACGGGCTTCTCCTAGATCAAAGCAGGGCCCTACAAAACTCAGCACACACCTCTATCGAGGTCCCATAAACCTTTAAAATCATCTATCTGGTTTCCTGAGGCCCACTCTATCAAATAGATTCTTGGGTCTTATACATTCCAGAGGCCTCGTTTAGGTTTTTCCTAGAGGTTCTTGGAGACCTGAACAATCCAATCGAAAGACTTGGGGACCCTGAGCTCTTAAAACCCAGGCGCCCTCATGTTCTTACTTCTCCAGACCCCCACTGCATAAACCTAAACCTGCCCTTGTCCTCCCCTCCCCACCCCTAAGTGCAAAGTGCTCCATCTGCCGGACAAAGGAGACTTTGTCAGTTGTCTCATTTTTCCAGCTTTACCTGTATCCTAAATTTCAAACCCACCCTCTCCAAGCCCAGGCTTCTGGAGCTGCTGGGTCCATCCCGGGTGACTGCTGAGGCCACAGCAGCCCCATGACTTCCCCAGGCACCATTAGACCTGCTGTGTCTCAGAGAGCACTGATGCAGATTTTAGCGTCCTAAGGTGTTTGTGTTTGAGGGCGGAGGTGCCGCGAAGCAGTACAGTGTAGCCAGGAGATGGTGGCACACACCTTTAATCCCAGCACTGGGGAGGCGGAGGCAGGTGGATCTCTGTGCATTCGAGACCAGCCTGGTCTACAGAGTGAGTTCCAGGACAGGCTCCAAAGCTACACAGAGAAACCCTGTCTCAGAAAAACAAAACAAGCTGTATAGTGTGCTAAATGTTTAAAATGTGAAGCCAGACCGCCTGAATCTAAATGCTGACTTCCGCTTATAAGAATGCCATGCTTCAATTTCCACCTCTGTAAAATGGCAATAAGAATAGTGAGCCAGATAAAACAAATCAAAATAATGCTGGCCTCATTGGGTCAGTGAGATTAAACGCTTGAACACCTGTCGACAGAGCCTGAACCCTGCGTGGAACCAAGGTGTGTGTGTGTGTGTGTGTGTGTGTGTGTGTGTGTGTGTGTGTGTGTGTGCGCGCGCGCGCTGCTGTGTCTGTCACACACTGAGAAACCTCGGAAGTCAGCTAGTCCATGCTATTGTGATGAGATAGCGCGTGGTAGCTGTGTGGGAATCAGGCCTAGCAGTGGACATTTGTTCAAACTGTGTGCCTTCCTTGGCCTCTTTTTTTGGGGAGATGAGTTAATAAAGACTTAAGCATGAGATGGTAAGGGGTCATTTGAAAGACACATGGTGGCGTGGCATACATCTTTGATCCCAGCACTGGGGAGGCAGAGACAGGCGGGTCTCTGAGTTTGAGGCTTGTTACACAGAGAAACTCTTGTCTCAGAAAAGAAAGGAAGGAAGGGAAAAAGAAAAGAAAAGGAAGGAAGAAAGAGAGAGAAGATGAGTGTAGGTCTAAGAGAAATGGGTTTGTTCTTTGGTTGTTTTGGTTGCTCTGTTCGGTGCTGCTGGAGGTAGAACTAAAAGGCTTCTTAGATGCCAAACAAGCATTATCATTGAGCTGTACACTAAAACCCTCCTTGGCCCTTTGGGATCTCGCAGTTGAAGATATTACTGCTAAGTGTGGGAGTTCCAGGTCTGTGCTCATTGCTTCTGGCCTAGAAGGTCTGGCTGGCGAGGATGGTCTTTGAAGCCATCACAGTTTCTCAGAGGGGTGAGCATAGCATGGGATGCTTGTAGTTGGGGAGGTAATGGAACTGATAGAACTGGACACAGTGCTTCGTACCTATAATACCAGAAACTGAGAGACCAAGACATGAGGATGGCCTCAAGTCTGACCAGTCTTCAGAGTGAGATCCCCCTTCTTGAAGGAAAGAAAACAAAACTGAGTTAATACATGCCTGGAATGCCAGGCAGTGGTGGTGCACACTTTTAATCTCAGCACTCTGGAGACAGGCAGGTGAACTCTGTGAGTTCAAGGCCAGCCTGGTCTACAGAGTGAGTTCCAGGACAGGCTCCAAAGCTACAGGGGAACCCTGTCTCAGAAATAAATAAATTAAATAAATAAATAACCAGTATATGCCTGGAACAACTTAAATGCCTGATGAGTTTAGCTCTCATAATAATTACTATTACTTTGCTATCTTGGTTTGCAAGTTTATTTATTAAACACTCAACAATGTTCAAATCTTGAAATTAGCCAAGCTTTTAAGGTGGGCAGATACAGTTTCTGAGAACGGATACAAATGATGCCTGCTTGGGCGAACCCCCAAGGATTACTCCTGGGTGCTCCAGGAAGCATCACTGTTCAGAAACCAGA